TTTTCTATGATTCTATGATTCTGGCATACAATTGACTGAGTGTAACAGAACTCTCACCGGCCTATGTTCTTCTTCAACTGTGATCCTAATTAAAAGCTCCTGAACAGAGTTTTCAGTCAGGAGAGAGGACAGAAGTACTGCCCACAAATTACTCCTGTAGCTACATGGTAAGTGAGGATCCCTGCATGATCCTTCGTCTCTGTGAACAATTCTTTGTCCCAGTCTTGTCTGTCTCTGTAGCAGCTGCATAGGAGCTACTACAGCCCTGACATGGTGGCAATCTTTGTAACCCAAATACTGGAAGAGGGATAGGAGGATTGCTTGGAAAACAGATGGATAAAGGGCTTCTTGCCTCACTTCTGCCATGTCAGCTCAATGCAGGGCAATGGTGAAGCCCCTCCCTCTTTACTTCTGTACCAGTGAACATCATCATACAGTATTATTAGGGCTATTGGGCGCATCTACATGAGACACTGACTGCAGTAGCATCATGCGTCTCAGCATGACTTTTGTCACTACTGTGCAGTAGTAATAGTCTACTGTGCAGTGGCATTACTTAAAAGGCATTTACCAGAGCTACTGAGCAGTAACTCCAGTTATTGTGCATTTATTTAGTATTTGCTTATACAAGTACTAATAAATGCACAGTAACCACTGCGCTGTAGCGTCTCATGTAGACACACCCACTGTATATGTACCGTATCATATAAGAGTGGGCAAATAATGTGCTCCTGGATCATGTGGAATGGTGATCCATCAGTACATAGACTATCCTGAAGCTTTTCAAAACTGAAAAGTAAACACCCCTGTGACCTGTAAAACTGAAAATATTCTGCCTCAGAACAAGACCTAACATCTGGTATGAAACAAAGCCAGTATCTGAACTTGTACCAAAGGAGAGAATAGTCAGGCTTCTATACACACAAAAAAACCTAATTGGATTCACATGCAATTTATGGTTATCAGCTTCCTGTAGGAAATATACCTTACCTTATTTTCCTCTCAAGTAATTTTCCCAAAGGCACATTATTACTTGAAGTACTGAACACGACATTTGTAAACGCATAACAGACTTTCAAAATTTCAGTCAGAATTATGACTAAGCAACTATCATTTTGTTCTCCTGAACTGCACAAGGTAAAATAACTGCTTTCCTAAAAGCACCATCTAACAATGAAGTACTTAATCCTACCTTCACAGAAAGAAGTCTTGTCAGGTAGATTTCTGTAATAGCTTTGGATCTTTCTTTTTCTTTCATGCTTCCCCGTTTGGATTTCCCTTCATCAACCTCATCTACTGGCCGAACTAGATGCCAAACCTTATTTTCATCTTCCAGTAATGCATGCCCTAGAAACAGCAATGGTAATATATATTATCATTCAAGGGACTTAAGTGACTTAATTCCTGCCTACCTACCCAATACTTTATCCAAACAAAATCAGATTGCTAAACTGTAAGCTACTTAAGCTGAATGATGGAAACGGAAATCAGCTGTATGGTCAATGTTTGTTATTAAGAGAAAAAAGGAAAACATTGCATGTTGGAAACACTATTTAAAAAAAGAACAAAAAACCAGAAAAGCCCCAAACCAAACTCTCATGTTTGGACACCTTTGGAGGCTGTTTGTACCTAGAGATGCACATACAGAAAACAATTCCATTCATCTAAGTTTAGTTCACTTGTAACCCAATAGAATAAGTGCACTACTAAGGTTTAAAAGTGAGATTATATGTAATTGTTCAAATAAAAAAAAAAACTTGCAAAATCAAATGGACATAGTGCAATTATTTAAATGTGTAATCAATCTATATTAAAAAAGACTAACTCAGTGCAACAAACTCTATTAATGCACCATTATAGCCAAGGATTTAAGTGCACAATACTTATGCAATTTAAAAATTAAGCTTCCCAGAGTGGCTGTAATTCAGTTACAATGCACACATATATTTATATTAAGGTATAAAACTTAACAGTAATGTAAAATAATATGTGCAATGGGGCTGAATTACAGTTTTTTATGGGAAACATAACTTTGAATTCTGTAAGACTTCAGTGGTTTAAAATGCTCAGCTATTCAACGGGTCTCATTCACCACCTACAATCTTCCAGTGAAGCAGCGCTGCTAATTTCAAAGCATATGCAAAGTACTACTTTAATGTAACCTTAAGGATTCACTATGGGAAAGAACAAAGAATTAGGAAATGCAAAATTATGCTTCCCAACAGCTACATTAACTGAAACGGAGTTTTTTATATAGTGCATAAAGTAAGAGTTAAGGAAGAAAGAAGGGGGAAAAATCCATGTATGCAACCTGGCCAAATTAACTTTGCTGCTGGAACTTAAACTTGAATATTATATTAATTATCAAACCTTAATGTCTCTTTTAAATTCATTTTTGTCATTAATTGCTGTTAAAGAGTTCCCTCTTACTTAATAATGTTACCATTTAAGTACTCTTAATTTGATTTTAAAGTTCATGTTTCTCTGAGGTAAGTGTGGTAGAAGAGCATCAGTTTTGATCTTTGTTTTAGATATTGTTTTGCTGGAGATAGAAATATAAGCTAGAGTTCTATATTGCAATAGCTGTGATTTCAGTGGCAGGAGAAATTTCACAAATATTTACAAAATATCACAGAATGCAAGGAAAAATTACACTGTGTCCCCAAATTATGATTTTTAAGTGCACGTTATTTACTCATGTAAATGAATAGATGAAAACAAGCTATTGTAAGAAGGAAACTATTTTTCATCTTTAACTATACAGGCTGCCCCATACGCTGCACAAATTTGTTTTTCCTTGGTTTCAAAGGTCTACTCTCCTCCTGTTCTCTTGACAGTACAGAACAAAACAGCTTTAGAGTAAACGCACAACCCCAGTGAGTTTACAGGCATTACTTTCACCTTCATCACAAATGTATTTGGCCCATGTTCATTTACTGGCATCATAATTGACTGTTGGTGATGTAATTAGCATTTAATAGAAATTTAGGGCCTCAGAGAAAGATAACAAAAGCAGGTGAACTTTTATAATGCAAAGATTCTGCTTTATGCAAAGCATGAGAAAATTCTTGAACATTTGTTAAAAAAGGGGAAAAGAAATTCAGAACATGAGGCAACAAAATATATTAGCAGGATAGTTTCCTAACAGACCACTTCCATGAAATGGCAGCTGCTTTTATCGGTTCCCCCAGTAATAAAATAAGCAAATAAAGGCTGTAACTCCTTGAATTTATTAGGTGGTTGATATGCCTCAGGATGTTAATGGCAAGATTCCCCACCTCCCTTTACACTTTTTTTTCTTAAGTACAGAAAACAATTCCCTCAGCCTTCTCTCAAATATCCCATTTAAAAGCAAATTTGAGGGTGACAATACAGACAACATGTTAATGTATGTGAAAGATTATGTATAGTGGCATGAGCTAGGCAGAGTGGGTGTTAAGTGCTGTACAATTTGCCCAATACAGATTAACTAATGAGCAACTCTAACCTGCAACTATCCTAACTACTCCAGACCAAAGCATATCATGAGGAAAGATGACAGTCTTTTACTTAATGATCTAAGTCCATGATTAAATGGTTACTCAAACCCAACAACCAAAAATATTTTTAATGTTGATCCAAGATCAGGATTGAAACATATCTTTATTAGTGAAAGACACTACCTAATAAAAGGCACGATATCCAGTCCTGTATCTCTGATACAAAGCTGGGAAACAGAAAGGAAGACTGTAGAGTAGGTTGAGCACCTTTTCAAAATGGAAAGACAGGATACATGCCTGCCCCCTGGGAGCCCTGCGCTGGCTTCACTGCCATGGCGAGGCACTCCTTAGCCTCCCGGCAGCACAACTCTGTGTCACTGCTGCCCCTGCTGCTGCCAGGTGGGCAGGGGATGCCTTGCCATGGCAGTGTGGCTGGCATACGTTTCCTGGCTGTGCTGATGGTAGCACTGAGCCTCGTTGTCCTCCTGCACTGGGTCCTGCTCACTGGGCCACGGTGAACCCAGGCAGGGCATGACAACAGGGCAAAGAGTCCAGAGCCCAAAGCAGGCAGCCTGCACCTGCTGGCAGCCTGCACACAAAACTGGGAGGGTGCATGTGCCCCCCATGGGCCCTGCCCCAGAAGCATGCACACCCATGGCTCCGACCAGCCTGTGGCTCTGTCCTGCTCCCTACCTGTTCCTGAAGCCACACATTCCCACCCTGGCACTGGGCCCCAGGAACCACACTGGCTGGGCAGCGCCTTCAGCCCCAGTCTCCACCCCACTCCTTCCTTCACTATGAGGCCTCAATCTGTCCCCTCTCCCATAGACTTACCTGCAGGGAGGTGCTTTCCACTGATGCCTGGCTGTATTCCTGGCCATGTGCACACGTGTGGGCACAGATGTATTTGGCTCCTATTGCCTACTGCTCTCCCCATCCCCTTGCAAGCTGGAACTCTGCCAGCTTGCAATGGGAAATCTGCCATCTCCCACATGTTTCCACAGTGAATGGAAAACCTAGATCCCTGCACAGTACTGGGAATCCAGGACAAATGCTGTCCTGGAGTCATTCAGCCCAGGACTGGAACTTGATGTTCACATTTCAGGTCTGTCCTGCCCAATTAGGGATGGGTGGTCACCCTACTGTAGAGTGAAATTTGGATATGGTTTTATATTTGTGTTGCCATTATGATTTTCATTGCAAAAGTGTAAGTTAATACAACATACTTTTGTCATGTTCAAATTAAAGCGAGTAGGATATAGGATGTTTTATGCACACAGACCATGTAATTCTCTGCCTGTCATCCGTGTGTGTGTGTGTGTGCGCGCGTACACGTGTCCATGTGAGCCTCTGGTCCTTTCTTATCCCTTTTTATGCAATAGAGCATTTCACAAATCACTGTCAGTGCTGGCTGCTGCTTTGCCTTAGTTTTGTAACATTCTCTACATTTCCAAAAACAAAGTAGTTCATTGGATATTTCTAAATGACCATAGGCACTAATGAAAACGGATTAGCCATTGCTACATAGTTTTCTACAGTCGGTCATTTTTAATGTGGGAGAGAACATGGGGTATAAAGAAGATGGATGATGTAACACAAGTATTTGGGGATCAAAAATTTCAGTCTTTGCAAAGGGACCAGCAGGCAAAGTCCTCTCTTGTACCAATGAATGTGATGTGTGTGACTAAGTAGTTCATTCTGGAATGTGAAACATTTACTTTCAAAAAAGCCTCTTCACACCCAACACTGTTGGATGTAATGGTATAGTCAAAGAAGAAAGCTTGAGCTAGGACTCTCCACCAAATGAAAAACTGGAAGAAGGAGAAGCCAGGCCTCTAAAGGTTTAAACATAAACTCTATTTCTCTGTATTTAAGAATTAAAAGTTAAAACACACTGACCAGTATTTATCTTACTATTTCTGAAGGAGCTTTTAAGCACCATCAGAAAATAGTTAAGTAAAAGTCCCAAAAGGAAGAAAGTTAAACCTATCAGTACGTAGTTCTGCCTGTAAAGATTGCTTGGCTCATTCTCAATCCTAATAAAAATACATTAAAAATATGCCTGACAAGTTTTTATTAAATAGCATTGTATATCAAAGCCATCAGCTGTTAGGCATTACAGATCCCACTGAAAAAAATAATTTGTATTGTTTCCATTCTGTTTGACTGTACAACACTTGAAAGCTCTTGACTCTATGTTCAGCAAATATATTAAACAGAATAAAACCATTAGATAAAGCAGATGGTTTGGCATTTAATGACAGACACAGAAGCATTTCAAATATAAAAGAAGGGTACACTTGGCAATTATTGCCTAATAAATCTAATTGCCATGCCATGTACAATAATGGTACATTAGTAAGAGATACTTTAAATAATCAGTGTCAACAAAGCCACATAAAATAAGGATTTAAGCTTACATAAAGTAAACATTAATATACAAACTTAAGTGGGTTCTGGTTATGTAGGGAAGCAGGGAAATCAGTTAATACTACACTGGATTTTGGTCTCGTCCCAAAAAACTTACTGGAACATTTGGATCAGATTCAGAATGCTTGAAAGGAAAAGCATCATGTGCAAAGAAAGTGGCAAACAACAAGCCATATTCTGAGTTAAGGGGAGGCAGCTAGCACATTGCATTAGGTAGGACAGTTAAAATTATCTTCATATAACAGCTGCATCAGGGATCTGGAAGTGCGTAAACATGGTAATGAAATTTCTTGGCAATACTGAATTAGAAGAAATTGCAAGCTCAGACAACTAAGGAATAATAAAGATTGGATACAAAGAGATTAGAAATATGTGCAGAAAATAGCCAAGCAAGATCAACCTGGGAAACCAGAATAGCTAATGCACCTGGTAAAAAGTCATCTTATATGCATTCAGCAAGAGGGAAAAACCAGGGAAGCAGTAATTCTGAAAGTGAGTAACAGTGCACAGGGACAGTGCAAGGAAACAGTGGGCAGGAACTTAGATGAGGTGGCAAAACTATATGGCTGCAAAAAAAGGCCACCGTAATTTTGGCTGCAGATACAGATCATCATATGCCACAAAGCATGGAAGTAACTTCTTACATCTCCAATGTAGTATAATTGTAGTAAGTACTAGACAATACATTTCCACAATGGTACTGAAAATTTGGATGAGTTTGGAGAATAGAACAAAAGGACATACACAAAAAACTAGAAGTCTTGGTTCCAAAATGATACCTTTTATTAGACCAACTGGAAAATGGCAAGAAAATTGTCCTTTTCTGCGAGCTTTCGGGATCAAAGTCCCTTCGTCAGGCTCTGGGAAAAGCGTAGATGGTACAAGATGGTAAAAAGTCCCCATAGGTAGGAAATAAACTTCATCTGTAAAAGGTATCATTTTGGAACCAAGAGTCCAAGTTTTTTGTACGTCTTTTTGTCTCAGACCAACATGGCTACCAAGTACACCCCTGAAAGAATAGAACAAAACACTGAAGGGTTTGAAAGGATGGTTTTCTGAGGAAAAGTTAAATTAATAGCTTGATTAAATAGGGGGAGGAGGTGAAAAGTAGAACACAGAGACAATCAAAACTGTGTCTACAAATATTGGAAGCTAGTAAACAATAAAGCTAGGGACAGAAATTACACATAAACCAGTTTAAGTGATCAGAAACTGGTTTAAACCTGTAACAGAACAGATGTTCAGTGCACATAAACCAGTTTGAGAATGTCTAAAACTGGTTTGAGATAAACCTGGCTGAATGTAGTATCAGACTTAACTGATTTGCCTCAAACCAGTTTACGCAATGTCTGTCTCAGACCCCTTGCTGGTTTAAGATAAACCAGACACCCCCAGCATGCTCTTGCGCTGGATGGGGCTATCTGCTCCACAACAGGGCTGGCCCCTCCCCTCCACTCTCTAGTCAGAGCAGGGGCAGGGTGTGCCCAGACACTGGCCTGCCATGGCTCCTGTGGCATATTTCTCTCTCCGCTGCCTCTCACCACCCCCCCGCCCCCGGCAAATCCTGGGGACCGCAGCTGCTGTTTGCCAGCCCCAGCTGTACCTCCATGGCTTCCACCTCCCTTGGAAGCATATTTTGGCAACTTCTTTACAGTGAGGGTTGCCAAAATATGGAATATGCTTCCAAGGGAGGTGGTGCTGTCCCCTTCCTTGGAGGTATTTAAAAGGTGATCGGACAGACAACAGGCTGGGGTCGGACTCAATGATCTAATAGGTCCCTTCTGACCCTAACATCTATTAAACTGTGTTTCAGGGGCTGTGGCCCAGCTTAATAAAGTTCACTCAGGTAAACTTAATAAAGTAAACTTTTCCCAGTAGTTTGCCTGTATTGTCTCTTAATCCCATCACTTCTAGTATCACTATCAATTTCACTGTATACTTCCCCATCCTTAGGTGAAGGTGAAAGCCACATCACTTGAGGCTTTGGAATTGTAGCGAACAGAAACATTATGAAGTCTATGGTAGGTAAGAATCCTGGATTGGTATAATAGTACCTTGTGGGAAATCTCATTTGATTTGGAGGCCTACACAGCTAAAGATCAGAACAACAATAGCATTTGTTGCACTTTGGCTTAAATTCCTTAGGGGGGGGATAGAGAAGTCAAATAGTACTTACTTTCCCCTGGGACATCTTGCTGATTATCTTCTGGCTGCTGGGAAATGCCCATTTTTGACAAGATAAGAGTGGCACCGTCACGGACCTTTGAGAGGAAAAGGAAAGGGAAATTATTCCAGGTAACAGTAATGTGGGAAGCACACTGGAAACTCACTGTAGGTGATGTGCAATAGAGACCAGAAGCACCTAAGCAGGTGCTTCTGGCTATCCACATATTCTCTTTCCCTTCTTAGTGGGGTCTGGACCTTTACCAGCCTTCGCACTCTGAATGATCAGTGTCAACAAAGCCATGTAAAAGAAGGATTTTATTGGACCAGGCCCTTTAATCCTCTCTCCCCTGCCCATAAACTAGTTCAGGTGTGACTCTCACGAGATGGGAGGGTCTCTCCAAGGTTGCTGGTAATGTAGAAAACTTATGTGATACTTATAAAGTAGTTCATAATCTTTTTGTGTAGACCCTCTTTACAGGAGTGGTTTTCACCATGAGCTGTTTGCCTGCCTCCTGTGAGAACATTTCTGCCTCTCCTAAGTAGCAGGACATCCACTATTATAAGAGCTAGGTAGTATAAAAAGAAAAAAATACAGAGGATCAAAAGGTTTTTGGATAAGAAGATGAACGTACTCTGAAACTCAAGGCAGACTGAACAAACACAACTTCAATACTCACCCTCCTGGTCCAATCAAAAATACTGATATTTATACATCCTATATAAACATGACATAGGTTTTAAAAATGATATATATCACTTGAGGGGATATGGCAAGGATTTGCCCAAGCTGGAAGATATAGTAAGCTGTTATTTTCTGTAAAAAATAATCTTTGTTCTACCACAAGCTCTGTGACTCTTAAAATACATGAATGAATCAACAGGGATGAAGCAGAATGAAGAAAACAGAGAGGAAGTTTCCGGAGTTAGAAGGGTAGGCAGGTAAAAAAAAAATTAGGTGCAAGAAAATCCTTGGACGGGTTTTTAAAAATTGAGAGGGCTATGTAGAATTAGACTGGATGGAGATGAAGCAAATGAAAGTGCTCAAATTTTTTTTTTATATGTTTTTAGTATTTTGGAGCCCTTAGCACAGGCTTAAACAGATAACTTTCTCTGAAGGCAAATAAAGATTTTATTTATTGCCGATAAACAATTAACAGATGTAACTTCTTACATTATAATGCATCAGAGTATTGATACATTTCCATCTGCCGTCTCTTTGAGATGTTAAATCCAAATCTGAGAGGATCTGTGCCGTAGAACCCGGACGCCACTCTATAATTAAAATGAAAGGAAGAAAGAGAGGTTTTAGCCACGTGAAACTAAAACAGAAAAATAAATATACCAGTAGTGTGTTCATTTTTGAGGAGCCACTGTAGCATCACACACTATCAAGAGAAAAATCATGGTTTAAGACATTCCAGTTTGTGTGTCATATCCTGTTTTCTTCCTCATTTCATATTACACAACTCTGCATGAACTTGTTTTAACTTCTGTTTATTTTCCATGAAGTTGAAATCTCTTGTTTTGGTCACAGCAACTATGAGATGCATAAAATTCCTATGATATCCAAACCAGACAGGATTACAACTTCCTGTGAAACATGCAAAAACTATTTGCTTGCAAAAACACACTGATGCTTTTTGGGAGAAAAATAAACCACATCCCCTTAAATTATGACATCAGTGGAAATGTTTCAAAACTAATTTATAGAGAGGTTATTAAGGGATCAATAAGTTGTAAATACTAAGGTCAGTATTTTCGGAAGAAACGAGTTACTTTGGAAGTCTTAACCTTTAAATGCCCAAACACAAACTCTTCCTAAGTGACTGACTCTCAGAAGCTGTAGGCTCAATGCTTTCTAAAAATAAACACTCTTTCAAGATGCCCTGTTTGGAACTCAAAAATTACCAAATACACGACTAGCTCATTGTTAAATAGTGTCATGACTCTCTCACATTAAATAATTTTGTTGTCATTATCATGCTAATTAGTAATAAACATTTAATACTTCATAGTTTCTGGCAGGCATTAGGATGTATTGATAGATAACAATATGCTTTTTGTGTATTTATGATACCAGGCTAAAAAATTTAACAATGACAGCTAATTTTATGGTACTTTTCCTTAGGATACAGGAAGTACCAGAAGTTCTGGCTCAAAGTTGTATCCAACTTTACATTTCAAAATGAAAATACTGAATTGCTTTTCTTGTACAAACTGGAAATATCAAAACATCAAATGACTATTTTACCTGCTATAACTACAGCAACAGAAACAGCTACCTACCAAGAACAACACTGTCAGCTTTTGGCCACTGTGAACATGGCAGATTTCGATAGACTTGGTCTATAATTTTTTCCTTTACTTGAGAAATAGTATCACAGTTCAACACTTTCACAGGTATAGGTTCAGTGCCTCCATCTTGTACAAACACATTTACTGTCTGTAAAAGAAAGAAAATATGTATAGTTATTAAAAAAGATGATGATGCAACATTTGAATCTGTTTTTCTGGATGATTTGGATCCAGACAGTGTCTAAAGTTCACTCTGCAATCTCATAACTGCACAGCAACCTACATCTGCAGTGGGAAGACAGATTATTCCCAGGGTTCTGCACTGTTATTTAACCTATTATTTCATATTCTAGTCCATTCTTTCCTTTACGACACAACAGAAAAGGCACAGAATGGATTTCTCCATTTTTTTATATTTATTATGCCATGATAGTCTTGGGAATTTATTTAAGACAAGCTTTAAAATAGTTGGAACCTCCACTAAACGTGTGACAGATGTAACCTGACAGGTAACCTGATGAATTCAGCTTTGTACCCAAATAGGAGACAATTTGTTATTTCTTTGACACAGTAAGTCTCACATGACAACAAAAGGGAATCTCTTGGAAGGTGCAACACTTTTAAAGTTACTGGACTTATGAGAGACTGATGGACTCAAGGAGAAACATCTTGAAAAAAGGGCAGGGACCACACAGCCTTCACCTAAATGGAAGGGACCTACCCTCCAAGGGTCAGCAGGGTGTAAAATCTTGGAGTCCTCATAGACTTTATGCTGCTCTGTGATAGCATAGATGCCTTGATACCTTTTATTTCTCAATTGATTGACCGGTAGCTTAAACACCTTAGTTCTTAGATATGGTTGTGATCACTACAAACCCACATGTAGTCAAGATACATAGGCTGCGATGAAAATCTAAGCTTCAGTGATTAAGTTACAGCTCAGCATTATTTTTACATACTTAAGAAACTGAGCTGTGATGCAGTCAAATTAAACCTGATTGTATTGTCCCTAGACAGAACTTACAAGCGAATCATGATATTTCTTCCTTTCCCTATTTACTTTGTTAATTATACATGATTTTGCTGTCAGTTCAGTAGGCAGTATGACAGTGCAACAACTGATGCATAACATATCCAGCTCTTAAACAAAAATAATTGTACAAGGGATAAGTACCGTGTACAGTACATTTCCATCATCTCTTAGTTTCAGGCAAGGTACACAAATTAAATTTTCCATTAATCTACCTAAGGCCATGAGTGATCCCATAAGGGCTTATAAAAATTCAGACAGTGTGGCACAACTAGCACAAGAATATTTTTAAACAAGAAAGGCAGGAATATTATCTTAATATTTCACAGGAATATAGATGTTCTACAAAAAATTACATGTGGGTTTATTATAAATGTAATTAGTGAATGCACTGAAATCTGGAATGAATCCCTCTAAAGTTCACAATGAATATCTGAGTATTTTATTTGGCTCAGATTTGACTACATTCAGAAACCATCACTTTTTTTGATATTACATTCGAAGATCTTATTACAGCCATCCATCTATGAGTTAAAAGATACTGCTTAACTTAGAAGAATTATTGCTGGAAGTCTCAAAATTTATGTGCAATCTTGCTCATTATGCATAAGAAAAAATAAGCAACATTGTATAATCATTGAGGGGTTAGTTGTTGTATTATGCGGCTCAGACAAACATGAAAGATCTCGTAACACCAAAAATATACATTTTAAAATATATATTTTTACCTTCATCTAATTCACCCTATCTTCTAGGCTGGGGAGTCAAATATATGACCCATGGGCAAGATTCAGGGCACAGAGTCTTTGTCCATCCCACTGGCCTATAGGAAGGCACCAGAAGTTGGGTCATTTGGCCCCTTTGCGCAAACCCACTGGCAGTGAGCCAAGTGCACTGCTGCCAGGTCCCACATTTTTGCTGCCCCTGTACTGTCCCTGGCAGACTCTGCAATGCCCCCACTGCCAGCGGATCCTGCATGGCTGCTGCTGCCAATGGTGGACACTGCTACAGTCCTCATGCCCTAGATTTCAAGGAGGTCCTCCATCCAGATCTGGCTGGGGGCCCCAGGTGAGTCTGACACCCCTCTCCTAGGTACACTCTGCTTACAGCAACTGTATGAGAGAAATTCATTAAGCAAGCTTCTCTCACTGTCCCTCCCACCCAAATCCCTTTAGAATATACAAAATGGGGTGTTTTCAGCCAACACTTCATAAAAGCTTTTTATTAATGTTTCTCTCCACACCACAGATGTGCCAATGTATCTCTCACAGTCAGATACTAATGGAAATGGCTGCTAGCATGTCAATAAAAAGTAAGAGCAATCACATCACAGAGTGACTTCTAAGGCAAAAAAAAAAAAAGAATCCTGTGCTGCTCTTCCAAGGATACACAGTATATTCTGGTAGATCATGTTTCAAGTGGCCAAAACAGGAGACTTCAATAGCAGATTACAACACTGTCCACACAAACCAGTACCCTGATTCAGACTGCTGAAGTGGTGCAAGTCAGGAGCAACTCCTCTGAAGTCAGTGAAATTAAATCAACATAAAACTGTCACGTGAAAGAATTTGACCCTGAAGAAGCTCAGATCCAGGGACTTGCTTTAACTAATCTATCCAGTTCATTGCTGATCACCTGTATTTTGGCTCCCATGAGCTCTTAAAGAATGTGCTATAATCTTAGTGTGCCACATTTTGGAAGATTCTATGTAATTAAATGATTTTGAGCCAATGTGCTGCTTACCAGCTGTGTGTACTCTACGTCATCTCCCAGTAACCCAGTGTCATTCAAGGTATACTTGGCTTTCTTTAGCACAGCATCCACTGGGCCTTTTTCCACCTGATGTTTAATAGCCTTGAACAATTTATAGAGAGGTTCTCCTGCATTGTCCTGTTTAAAAAAATTAGAAAGGGAAGATATAATCAATGCCATGTACTTAATCATTAAAAAAAGGAATGTCTGCAACAGATTTCAACCCTTACCTTCAGATACTGGTATAAACAAATAGACATCCAGTTAGACAACATCCTCTCTACAACAGTTTCTGACCTAAAAAACAAGTATATTAAAAATGTTTACTGACAAAGTATTATTTTTTTTAAATGGTGCCTGAAATAAAATATTTGTATTCACTTAGCAGCAGGCATTGTCCAAATACAATGATTTCCCCATAGGTTCTTGAAAGTGTGTGCTCACTTTAGATAAGTGCTTGTTACCATTCATCATTCTTAGATACTTTCAGCTCATTACTTTTATTGAACAGCCCACATCTTTTATTCAAAATAAGAACTGTGTGTCTATGTTGTAAGAAGAGGTGCCAAAAAAATCTATACTTTAGGTACTGGAGGAAAAAATTTTCACCATAAATGCAGAGCAAATCCTAGAAGTGTATATAGGAGTAAAGGGGATGGAAACCTGCACAGGCTGGACATGCCAAAGCAAATTGTTTGATAGCATTCATTACATTGACAATGTGGTGTAAATGCTATATAATTTAGCATTAATTAGATAAAAAGTATAAAGAGTCTAGTGCTGCATTTATTATCAGTTTTTCAATAAACTGCCATAGTTATTCTTTTAAAAAGTGATTCCGATTTACTGCCTTTTCCTGATTTACAGTCATTGTGATTTTTATCAACAATATTTATCTGGACATGTACATAACACAGAAATAAATACCACACTGCAAATAAAATAATGTTACAAAAAAACACAGGAGTTCAGAAAAGAAGATGGAAGTATTCAAACCTTCTTAGCATCAGCTTTGGATTTTTGGCCACAACATACTGCTCCATCAGCTCTAAGAACAATGTTCTCATGATGTCAGTATAATATTCGAGCTTTCCATGTAAGGCAACAGTCAGCAGGGATGCAAAATACACTTTTGCTCGGGCAGAGAACTCCCTCTGGTTCTCCAGTGTGTGAATAAACTAAGATGGAAAACAGATTTAGCAACAAGTCTGACATGACAAACTTCAAAAACAGTGTAAGGCTTATCTAAACTCTGTCTATGCAGAATAAAATGGCCTTAATCATCTTATCACAACCTGAACAACAAAACTAAAACTTCCAAAACATCAGATAAATTACCAATGAATAAATACTGCCTACACCTGTTTGAACACACTGTCCTAAGGCTAGTAGGACTAACCTCACTTATGTTTTTATGTCTTCACTAAATAGGAAGGTTATATATAATGAAGCATGTTTTCATTAAAAAAACTCATTTGTTTAAAAAAAATTCCACATCAAATTACAAAAGGTAGTCAGCTAAATATGTACATTTTAAGCTTTTAACACTCTTCCCTTTGTCAGTTAGAACACACAACTAGTTGAGCACTGAGGCCACACTTTAAGAAAAGTATCTACAGTTAGGAACTTACATCCATATTTAGGCACCTCGGGCTCCCATACAATTGCAGGGAGCCTGCTCCAACGTGCCGGAAATCCAGCATGTCGGAGTAGATTTGATTAAATCAAGTCTGCTGAAGTGCAGAAATTAATGTGCTCCAATAGACTCTAGTGCCACTGTGTCCCCACACTGAAAAATGGCAGTGGGGCACTTTGAACTAAAGCTTGCTTAATGAACTTTAGTTCAAAGTGCCCCGCTGCCATGTTTCAGCATGGGGATGTTGATGCACATGATGCTCGAGTGCTTTTAATTTGCATGGCTCTCTAATAAAAGCACCCCCCCCCCCCACGCCTCCCAGAGCACATGTAAAAATGCCCCTAATGACCAGCCGCATGTTTAGGAATACTTCCAGCTCTTGGGGTACAGCTGTTAATCCAGCAGACTAATTAACAGACCACTTCTTCAGGTGCCTGAATATGGACTTGGGAGTCTAACTGTAAGCACCTCTTTTTGACAGTTTGGGTTCAGTTTTGCTTACAAATGCTACTCTCCTCATCCACACACTTTAAACAAAAAGGATTTTTTTAAAGTACCAGGTGCCTTACAAGTGACCTCTCCTTTAATACTCACATTGATGAGGAACGATTTGCTATTAAGCAGATTGGAAAACTGATTCAGAGCTTGCTCCACAGTTTGTCGTCTAGCCTCTGGAATGTCTAGTTTCCCAGTAATCATTACATCTTTCTCCCCATCTTTTGAGGGCAAGAAGAAGACTCTGTCTGTGTATGTTTTATAGTCCAACACAGGAATTCCAGCTTCATTGACGTCATTTGTCTGATCTTCCATCTCAATCATTAGATCTAGAACACACAGTATTTCTAGATTTAGCATATATTTTAGAAAACCTAGCACCTTTTGCTCCCATAAGAACATTCTGTAATAGAAACAGAGATCAAACATTCAAAATCCTTTTCTCTTCCCCATTCACTCCATAATTTTCTTCACCATACTGAGTTGTTGAAGCTGGATCCCTAAAACCCACAGTCTCTTCTCAGCTGATCCTGGTGTGACACTAACACAACACTTTTTTTTTTTTTTTTTTTTGAGTAAAGACTTGTTTTTGTTGTGTTACCAGAATGCCTAGGCAGAGTGGAGCCTCTACTGATTACTGAGACTCCTACATACCAATTATCACCACCACCACAAACACTTCTCTGACTGCAGAATATAGGGTAGGGCTAGGATTCAGGGAGACCTCAACAAATTGGAGACTGGACCAAAAGAAATTTCATGAGGTTCAATAAGGACAAGTGCAGAGTCCTGAACTTAGGACAGAACAATCCCATGCTCTGCTATAGGCGGGGGACTGACCAGCTAAGCAGCAGCTCTGAGGTTACAATGGACAACAAGCTACATATGAGTCAACAGTGTGCCCTTGTTGCCAAGAAGGCTAATGGCATACTGTGCTGCATTGGTAGAAGCGTTGCCAGCAGCTCAGGGGAAGTGATTATTCCCCTCTATTTGGCACTGGTGAAGCGCATCTGGAGTACTATGTTCAGTTTTGGGCTAACCACTACAGAAAGGAGGTAGACAAATTGGAGATAGTCTAGCAGAGGTTAATGGAAATAGATAGGCTGGCACATGACTTCTGAGGAGAGGCTGAAAGAACTGGGCTTATTTGGTCTAGAGAAGAGAAGACTGAAATGGGATTTAACTGCAGCCTTCAACTACCTGAAGTGGGGTTCCAAAGAGGATGGAGGGAGACTGTTCGCAGTGGTGGCAGATGACAGAACAAGGAGCAATGGTCTCAAGTTGCAGCAAGAGAAGTTTAAGTTAGAGATAGTACTAGGAAACACTCTCACTAAAAGGGTAGAATCTCCGTTCTTGGAAGTTTTTAAGACTTGGCTAGACAAAGCCTTGGCTGGGATGATCTAATTGGGGATGGTCCCGTTTTGGGCAGGGATTCAGACTAGAATACCTCCTGAGGTCTCTTCCAACCCTAATTTTCTATGATTCTATAATGTTATTAGTAGATGAATCATGACTTTTTTATATGATCAGCAGGAATTAAGTGGTGGGATTTATGAAGGGAATGTTTCTTAAATCCCAACCACAGTTATAAAATAATAGTGAAAGGGAAAAAGAAATAATAGCTACATTTTTTTTTCCTTTTTGTAAACATTTTCTATTGCTGTCATACCATATCACTGTGAAAGTTCCTATTTAAATTTTTTGATGACAGCTGAAGTAGTGAGACACAATGCACATAAAACATAATCTTTTAATTGCGAGGAGGGCAGGAAGAAAGCAGGTTAGACAGTTCGTTGAATTTGATGAATACTCTTTGTAGGACTCAAAAACTTTAAAGTTCTCAACAGAGAAAGCAATAATGAGGTCACCTTTTGGACTGGTTATGTCAGCTGGATGCTTTCCAGTTGCCCGATACTGCTGATCGACTAGGATATCATGTTAATTAATATAATAGCCTATTTTCTCAGCTATTTTTATTGTCCGCATTGTTTATCTTAGTTTTCTGATTCTGTAATGCACAGCCAGCACCCAGGGAGTAGCATCTCCCGGTTTCCAGCTTCATTATGTTAGTTCTTCCTCCCCAGTCTACATTTCCTATTCTATTATTGGAGGTGCAGATTAAGTCAGACTCCTCTTCCTTTTGCTATTAGCCACATTTGATACAAATCTAGACACTATTGTCATTTCACTGCCTCACTCACTGTCAACTAGGCCTACATGAATTTGATGAGCTAGATTCTCTCTCACTGTTGCAATTTGCACCCTCTGAGCCCAGAGAGACAGCTGTGCTGGAGGAGGAGGAGGAGATGCAAGCGCAGAATACAGCACACAACAATAACTGACTGCTCTTGCCTCCCTTCCACACAGTGTACTGGCAGAAACCAGGCAGTGACACATTCCAGAAGCTGGTATGAGAAACTGAAAGCAGGAAAGCAAAGGGATTACACACATCAGCTGGTGAAGTAGACTAATAACATGAAATGACTCTAAACCGGAACCTGGAACAGATCTCCTTCCCCCCGGCCCCACACTTTTCTGAGTGGGGGTTAGAGTTGAGTCCCTTAACCCATATCAGTTCTACAGAGATTTGGTTCTGGGTTGGGTCCAAAATTGGAATAAGCCACA